TTTTTTCTTTTTGCTTATGTGGTGCTGAGGAATCGAACCCAGGGCCTCATGCATGCAAGGCAAGCGCTCTACCACTGAGCCACCTTCCCAGCCCCAAGGTGGAGAATTGTTAAGAGGTACACATTTAAGTTTAATTAATTAATAATTAATTATATTATCTTTAAGTAGTTGTACAAAGGAGTTTCAATTCAATATGTCATTTATGAGTACAATGTGTGTTTAAAAATATCATTTGTATTCTAAGTAGTTGCACAAGAGTTTTAATTGAACATGCTAGTTTATGAGTATAATGCATCTTGATCAATGTTATTTCTGCCATCATTCTCTACCATCTCTCCCAACCACACCTATCCCCTCAAGTTATTTGGTTCATTTTCACATATGTACACTGAATATTATGACTATATCTGTCCACTCTTCCTCTCTCCATTTGTATGCCCTCCCCCATTTAACCTCGTCCCTTGATAAAATATGTTTCAGCTCATGGTTTTAATTTTGTTAAACTGTAAGCCACTTGTTCAAAGGAATTACACCATTGTAATCCTCCCCTACATATACCATACTTTAGTCAATTTGTTTTTATATATTTGCATAAGGTCCTGTATATGGTGTCATATGTTTATAATTTACATCTAATTTCCACATATGAGGGAAAACATGTAACCTTTGTCTCTCTTAGCCTGATTTATTTATTTCATTTAACATATTTTTTTTCAGGTCCATCCATTTCTCTGCAAATGACATATTTTCTTCCTAATGGATAAATAAAATTATTTTTTGACTTCTTGCCAATAGGTTGTATATTCTGAATACATTATCTTCGTCAAATATATGTCTTGCCAATATTTTTCTCATTCTATGCTTTACAATTTCAGTTTTAAAATAGTGTATTTGGAAGATAAAGTTTTAAAATTTCAGCGGGATGTGGTGGCACATGTCTGTAATTCCAGCACTCATGCGGGTGAGGCAAGAGGATGGTGTGTGTGGGGTTACACTGGGCTAGTAGTAAGACTCTGAAACAAAGCAAAACGGAAGTTTAAAGTTTTGACTAAATCAAATTAATTTTTACTTTTTATGATCTTTTTTGATTTTTTTTTTAGTACTAGAGTCTGAACTCAAGGCCTTGCCCTTAGTTGGTTTGTTTGCTTGACTGGTGTGCTACTACTTAAGCCACACTTTTAGTCTTTCTTTCTTTCTTTCTTTCTTCCTTCCTTCCTTCCTTTCTCTCTCTCTCTCTCTCTCTTTCTTTTCTCTCTCTCCCCTTTCTTTCTTTCCTTTCTTACTGCTATTTTTGTGCCAGTATTGGGGCTTAAACTCAGGGTCTGGGTGCTTTCCTTTCTGCCTAATGCTGTTGCTCTACCACTTAAGCTACACCTTCACTTCTGGCTTTATGCTGATTAATTGGAGATAAAAGTGTAGACAAATTTTCTACCTGGGCTAGCTTTGAACCGCGATTAATTGGAGATAAAAGTGTAGACAAATTTTCTACCTGGGCTAGCTTTGAACCGCGATCCTGAGATCCCAGTCTCCTGACTGGTTTTGAACTGCGTTCCTCTGGATCTCAATCTCCTGAGACTGATGACAGACATGAGCTTCTGGCTCTAAATCTTTGGCTACCTCAATGTCTCAAAGATTTTCTGGTGTTTCAGTCTAGAAAGTTTAGGGTTGAACATGGTGGTATATACCTATATTCTCATTTGTACTAGGGAGAGGCAAGAGGATTTTGAGTTTGAGGCCAGTCTCAAATAGTTAGATTTTGCCACAACCCTACCTTCTCCCCCGCCCAAAAAAACTGACAACATGACTCAAGTGGTAGAGCCCTTGCCTAGCAAGTGCCAGGGCTTTAGTTCAAATACTACTCTCATCAATAATAAAAAGTAAAAAAAAGTAAAGTCGTTAGAAAATAAAAAAGAATGCTTAAAAATTTAAAAACTTTAAGCTGAGCATTGATGGCTTACACCTGTAATCCTAGCTACTCAGGTGGCTGCTGATCATGGTTTGAAGCTAGTTTGGGCAAGAAAGTCCATGAGACTTATCTCCAATTAACCACTGCAGATGCCCGAAGTGATTGAATTCAATCTGTAGATCAATTGGGAGAGAATTATCTGAACAATACTGGAATGTTAGATGGAATGTGTTCATTTGGGTGGGTTCTCTTTCATGAAACCTACAAATTTTTTGATAAATCCCTACTATCTAACAGTGTGAAAAGTGGTAAGGGTTATCTTCTGTTGGATGTAGACTTTTCTTAGTTACTTACAATAAATAGAACACACAGAAATGATGTAGGGTTACTACTAAGGGTAAGTCAGAAAAAATAGTGGGTTTTCCGCCTATTTCTTTTGGAAGTTTCCTTCTTTTCGGGGTTTATCCACTTGCTGTGAAAATCCAACCCTTACAGAA